ACAAAAGATACCCGGAGACGAAGGGGAAGAAGGCGAGAGAGGGCCAGGGCGGGAGGGACAACGGCTGCAAGGATAGAGAAATGTCCCTGTATGCATATGTATCTAGATATACATATATTTATATTGTTGATAGAGCGATGATAACCTCCAGGGGCTGCTGGCAGCTCCATCGGATCCCTCCCTTTGTGAACGGGCATTTTTCATACGTATTTTTCGTTCGTGCATATTTCAGCTAGCGCGAGGTTTGGGGGGGGGGAAGAGGGGAACGCCCTGCTGTCTGTGGCTCTGACAGGCCCCATCAGTAGAATGCGTTGACCTTCGAGAAAAAAATCAGCCGCGGTGCTGCAGGAAATTTCGAAATTTCACGGCACGCACGCGTGTTCATAAAAAGAACGACACAATGGGGACCAGAAAAGAAAAGAGATATGCAACCTGAGGGCTTGTCGCACCAAAGTAACGCTTAGCTTTGCCATTGAGGCGATATACTCTTGTGTCGTTCGAAACAAAGGACACCTTTATGGAAGACCTGGCACTGCATTTCATAAATATTTTTGGAGGTTGACTGTTTACGATTTCGATGCTTCATGCGAAATAAAATTCAACTAGCACGCGGAAATTCGATGCGAAAGCATTTGGAAATTGAGGAAAGCACATAGCTTTACCCCCCGTCGCCTTACGTTTGCAACGACTCACAGATAACACCACTTTTTTTAAATCGTGCTCTGCTGTACAAGTGCGGGCCAGCGGCATCTCACTAGCCTTTCGAATGAAGCTCCCTAAATGTGTTGTGGTGCTCTTGGGCATATGTTGGGGTAGTGCATGGAGCAAAAAGAGAGAAAAGGAGAAAGGAAGTGGCTGCCGTCGGTGTCACGTACTACGTACCCTCGTTGAAAAAATCCACACTAGGATCACAAAACCCGCACCAGCACTACCCCTCCGTCAAGAAAAAGCCTCGGAATGACAAAATATCGCGACATGACACCTTCGAAACACCTTGTCAACCGCCACTTGCCCGTGAAGCACCCCCAAAGTATTAAAAAACCAGCCAAAAATCCCCCACAACGACCCTAGCCTTTGCTATCGCCCGGACCACGCAAGATGATCCATTCCAGTATGCACCATTACCACGGCCAAACATCGCACAACGCCCGACCACCCACCCCAATGAGGCGCAGATGTGCATGCATGCATGGTTTGTGACAATGGGTGCGGAGGACTTGGGTGTCGGACGGGTTTTAATGTCACCGCGACTCCCCCGAAAAGGATAAGGTTGCTTCTCCCTGCTCCTGGTAGGCACATCCCTCCCATTACGTTCCATCCGTATTACCCTCAAAAGACTGTACCCTGGATACCTCCTTTTCTAGCGTGGACCACCTCGCGCATCCAATGTGTCCACCCGCTGGTGTGGTGTAGTGTCAGGGGAATGGGGCGTGGGTGGGAATAATTGATATGCGGGACGCTTGGGGTGAGAGGGTGGTTTCACACAAAGAGGGTGGAGTGTATTGCGCGTCCCCTATTATATCTTCCGTCTTATGGACACCATGCCGAACTTCCGGCACAAATGCCCCCCGTATTATGTATAATGGACGGGTGCAACAGCCCGAAGAGGGATCGACGGACACGTGTGGTGCCAGGGGGCGTTGATCACAGAGGATTTCGGTTCTCACATTCTTATCCTCCCATGTAGCATACCCTTCCCTTTTCCCCGACTGGGGCTTTTGTGAATTGGGATGGAGAAACACAAAATCCCTACGCCGTCATCCTCAACATAGCCAGACGTGCGATACTGGGAGGACAGATCATATGGTGCGTCAATACCTGATGCTGACTCATTGTTTCAATTCCCTTCCTCCCTCCCTCCCGCCCTGGTCGATGCCACCGGCATACCCCACACAGACCGTCTC